AATAATATAAATAAATACTTTTTTAAAAATGTGAGTTTGAGTCCAGCTTGAACTGCGTACATCACAAGACCCTGTCTCAAAAAGACAAAAAATAGAGTATGGTAATATGTTTGGATAATATGTAAATACTATGCCAATTTATGTAAGGATTTGAGCATCCTCAGATTGTGGTACCCACCAGGTCTTGGACTCATCCCCTCAGATAGCAGGGGAAGACTACAGTGTTACACCCAATTCACAGGCATCTGAGAGGATGAAATGAGGTTCTGTATACAGACTTCATATCCGATTCCTTTGAGAAGGGGATGGGCCAAAAAAAAAAAAAATTAAGATGTGGGTGGACAGTGTATGAACACCAGGATGGAAGGTGAGGGGCTTATTCAGGCAGAGTAGCTGCAGAGAAACAGGATTAAGACCACACCAGCTGGAGATACAGCACAGTGGCATAAGCACCTGCCTGGCAAGTACAAGGTCCCAAGTTTAGTCCCCAGTACCACACGTACACACAAAAAGCACTCCAAAGAGACAAAACTGAGCTGAGGCAGGATTCCAAGTTCAACCCCAACCTAAGGCAACTTCATGAGATTCTGTCTCAAAAACTAAGAAAGTATAGAAGGGCAAGACATGGTAGAGCATGCCTGTAACCTCAGCACTCAGGAGGCTGAGGCAGGAGAATCATTGTGAGTTTGATACCAGCCTGGGATACAAAGTGAGCTCAAGGGCAACCTGAAATGCTTAGGAAGACCCTGTCTCAAAAAGAAAAAGGGGCCGGAGAGAGAGCTCAGTAGAATATGTGCTTGCTTGTCTGGCAAGCACAAGGGCCTGAGTTCAATCCCCAGTTCTGCAAAACAAAAAAAAAAAAAAAAAAAGAAAAAAGAAAAAAGAAAGAAAAGGAAAAATGGTAGAGCTCTAGCTCAGTCCAAAGACCATGGGTTCAACCCCAGGACAGGACAGGAGGTGGGGCCAAAGCCCCAGAGGCAGGAGTTGAGCCTAATTCTGCAGCAACAGGGAGCCATTGCACTCTCAGTAACTAGAGTGGCCTCATCAGGGCTGTGCTTTAGGAAGATTTTTTTCTTTATAAATTTATTTTTTATTTATTTATTTATTTGTGTGTGTGTGTGTGTGTGTGTGGCCAGCTCAGCCCACCAGGGGGCGGGGCTGGCTGGCATGTGGTGCTGGGGATTGAACCGCGGTCCCTGTAATTTGCTCAACTTGTTCTAAGTAGGTGCTTTAGACCACTGAGCCATCTCACCAGCCCGATTTTTTTCTTTAATTTTTAAAAATTTTTTGGCTTTGTTTTTTGGTAGAACTGGGGATTGAATTCAAGCCGTGCACTTGCCAGGGAAGCGCTTATTCTACTGAGTCATCAGTCATCTCCCCGGCCCTACTTTAGGAAGATAAAACCAGCAACTGACAGGAAGAAAGAGTCTGGCTAGAGAACCAAGGTTATACACAAACCGACCCAGGCAGCTCACCCGGAATTCCATGTCCAGATTGTCAGTGGAGACCACGGGATCCTTCAGAAGGGAGTAGTCGATGCCGACCAGCTTGTCCACAGCACTGCGCACTGCAGGGAGGGGCTCAAGTCACTCAAAGCTGTGTTACCGGCCAGGAACTTGACCTCTCTCGGCCTCTTGCCTATAACATGGTGATACGTCCCTCCTAGGGTTGCTGTGAGAGTAGAATTTGTTTTATGTGGCAACCACTTAGTGCTTGACATATGTAGTAAGTGTTCAATAATGTTGTTTCCTCTTTCTTTCTGATTTATTTATGTATTTATTTTTGCGGAACCAGGGATTGAACTCAGACCCTTGTGCTTGCCAGGCAAGTGCGTATTCTACTGAACCATCTCCCCAGGCCCTCTTCTTTCTTTCTTTTTCATTGCTGAGGATTGAATCCAGGCCTATATACTAAGCTTATATCCTCACCCCTTTTTATTTACTTTGATTCATGGACTCACTAAAATGAAAATTGCCTGTTCTGGGCTCAAACTTGCAGTTCTCCTGCCTCAGCCTCCCAGAATGCAGGATGACAGACCTGTGCCAGCCGGACTATGATTACATCAGTTACTCCTACTATTGTTACTCCTACAGGAGTCTCATCAAGTCCCTAAATAAGATGGCAAAGGAATCCCTTTCTTCCTTGGTTTTCCCTACCTCATCCTTCCCTTCCCATGTCCTGTGTGTTGCACATGATGTCAGATCTCTGGCCCACAGTAGATGGAGCTCATGGCTTAGGAAAAAGGAGTTTGTGGGGTTTTTTGTTTTGTTTTGTTTTGTTTGTGGAGCCAGGGATTGAACTCAGGCCCTTGCACTTGCCAGAAGAGTTCATGTTAACTGAGCACCTACTACCTGCTAGATAATCAATGATCAATAGTGAGGACCCTGTTGATCCTAGGGGGAGGCATTGCCAGCCCGGTAAGGAAACAAGCCCTGAGCAGAGGGACCCTAGGTCTTCCCTGTGGTCACACAGGAGTCAGCCCCAGCACTGCTCCACTGGTGGGCTTGGAGGGCATGTCACTGAGCTGCTGAATGGCATGTGCTCACCCAGCACCCTCCTGGCCCCAACTCACCAGGCACGGTGTCCAAGAGGGAGTTGAGCAAGATCATCCCTGAGTGGTAGAGCACCGGACAAATCTAGGAGGCAAGAGCCGGGGTCAGGGGTCTCAAAGCCCAGGCATGCCCACCTCATGCCCTGGGTCTCCACTGCCCATACCTGCTGGTTGAGCAGAAAGCGCATCCCAGAGATGATGAATGTGGACAGAAAATCATACACCCTCCTGCAAGCAAAGAGAGGAGAAGAGGGGTGAACCCAGCTGCACCCCCAATCCAGGTCCAGGAGAAACGAAAATGGCCAGAGACACGGTTGTGACAGGGCTTCCTCAGCTTTGACCTGAATGACCAGTCACTGTCGTTTCCCAACATCTGGGCCCCAGGCCCTCTCCAGCTTGACACCCAAGGCGGCCTCACCTGCCCACTGCCCCTGACAGCCACATGGATCCACACCATGATCCAGCAGCTCCTCGGGGGCCACTGAGGCCACTCTGCTTCCATGCACTTCCCAATGTCCTCCCTCCCACCCTCTGTGTTCCTGCCCTGCTTCCTATTAGATGCACTGAGATCCTTACTCTTCAGGCAGCCTTCTCAGGTCAGCCTCCTCTGAATACCCAGAGTACTTTCTTGGTCCTTGTCTCAGGCTCCTGAGATAACTGTTTAGTCCCTTTAGCGAGGCTGAATCCTCAGGGCTGAGCATACACTTTGCTGAATAAATAAAAATGTGATACTCAACTGACACCAGATGATAAATCCACTATCTTTTTCCCACCCTCTTCTGGAACCAGCACAACAAAGTCCCCTTCCCAGTTCAGACCCTGAAATGATTGCATTGTTGTTGTTATTATTAAAAGCAATTGTGCTTTTGCCTGTAATACCAACACTCAGAGAGGCTGAGGCAGGAGGACTGCAAGTTCAAGCCCAGCCTGGGCAACTTAGTGACTTAGGGCTACTAAACTGAAGGGCTGATATTTGTTGAGTACTCAGTACAGGACCAACTGCGTGCATCCATCATCACAATTACTTAGCACACTTAGATAGGCATCCATCATATGCCACGTCCAAGACTGGCAATATAAAAAAAGGATTGCTATTGCAGTGGTCTTGTGAAATAGGTTCTATCATCAGCCCTGTTATACCAACAAGAAAACTGAAGCTTTGAGCTCCCTCATTTGCCCAACTTCACAGGAAGTGCTTGAGCTGAGCTCTGGACCCCACTGATCTGATTCCTATTTTCTGCATTGTGGGGCTTCAATGGGGTGCAGAGGACCTGGGACTTACTTGAAGGTTCCCCCGAAGGCCACATGCATTCTGGAGACAAAGGCCTGACATGAGACATTGGTCACTTTCATCCTGCCGGTGGGATCCTGGGAGAGCTGCAGACCTGTGTGGATGGACACACCCTCTGCCGAAGCATTGATGTAGCCCCCATCATAGCTGCCAAAGGGAGTTAATGGTCACCCCGTTAGAGAGCTCATGGGTTCTCCTCCCTGTTCCCATACATTGTGACTCCTCTTGTTAAGGCTTCCCTTCTGCACGGCTTTCCAGAAAGCCTCCCAAAGCCGCCTGTCCGCCTTCATGAAATGTGTGATGGTTCATGAAAGGGTTGCCCAGGCCACACAGCCCTCCCAGCCATCCACCTCTCCTTGACAGCACCAGACCCTCACAAGAACCAGTAGAGAAGCTGTCTCCGGAATCGCAGGCCCAAGGAGGCGTTAGTGATTTGTAGAATCAGCTCCTGCTTGGGCTGGAAATGGAGCTCGGAGGACCTCAGCTGCAGCTCAGTAACCTTCACCCTGCGGGAGGATCAGGTCAGATCCAGAGCCAAGAGGAGGAGATCCCATCTAACCACAAGGAATTCATTCCCTCTTCCAGTACAGGCCCAAGGAAACAGGTGGATGGGACATGAACTTTTCCCTTCCCTCCAAAGTGCTCAATTTGTTTTTGTGAAATTGTGCTTTTTGAGACAAGATCACACTATGTAGTTGAGCCTTGCTTTGAACTCACTATGTAAGCCCAAGCTGGCCTCAATCGAACTCCTGCCCCAGCTTCCTAAATACTGGCGCCCCTGGCGTGCGGGCGTGCGTCGCTCCTCCAGCCAAGCACCCAGTACAGATTTGAGTGACTCGGCTACACCTGCTGCAGGTGTTAAACGTGAGTTTCACATTCGTTCTCTCTTTTTTTTCCGGAACCAGGGATCGAACTCAGGCCCTTGCGCTTGCCAGGGAAGCGCTTATTCCACTGAGCCATCTCCCGGCCCCTCACATTCGTTCTCTTTTTCTACATTATTTTTATTTACTTATTTATGTCTCGCTTTTTAAAAAAAGTTATTTATTTATTTTGTGTGTGTGGCCAGCTCAGCCTACTCTGGGGGCGGGGCTAGCGCGGCATGTGGTGCTGGGGATGGAACCACTATCCCAGCACTTTGCCTAAGCTTGCCTAAGCTTGCCTAAGCAGGCGCTTTAGGGCCAGCCTGATAGCTCAGCGGACTAACGTGCCTACCAGTTCAAGGGCAGGGCTGGCCTGTTTAGGCAGAGCGAAGCGGCCAGCCAGAGTTCGATCCCTAGTGTTGGGAGGTTGAAACAGGAGAATCACTATGATCTGTGTAGTGAGACTCTGTCCCAAATGCAGAAAAGATAAAATAAAAAAGTAGGTGCTGTAGACCGCTGAGCTATCCCTCCAACCTCTTATTTATTTTTTGAGATGAGAGTTTTCTCTGTCGCCTATACTACCTCAAACTCATGAGTTCAAGGGAGCCTTCTGCCCTTGCCAGCCAGACGACAGGCGGGAGCCACCGGCACTCGGGCTTTGGGGAAGTCTCGTTGCTTGGTGCGCCTTCCCTCCCACATCCTAGTTTTGTTTGTTTGTTTGTTTGTTTTCCACATCCTAGGTTTGCCCCACTGGGTCTTTTAGTTTTGCCTGTTTCCCCATCCCTCCCATCCCAACCACGGTCTCACTTGTAGTCCTCCCCACTAGCTCCAGTTTACGCCCTGGACTCCAGGGTCACCCACTCGCAGGCTCCTCGATCCCTCAATTCTGGGGCTTTTTGGCCCTGCCTCAACGCCCGAGTCCTGCAGGGTTCTCGGTCTCACCTACCAGTTCTAGGCCACGCCCCTCCGCCTGGAACCTGCCACATTGGTCAGCAGGGTCTCTTTTCAGCCCCCTGCTGTTTCTTCGGCCAGAGCATCTGGCCACGCCCCAGTGATCACGTGTTAGCTCAGCCCCGCCCCCAATCTTCCACTTACTCAGATATGTTGTAGTGTAACTGGCCTTCTTTGCCCCGCAGGTCTGGGATAGTGATGGTCTCCAGCTCTTGCTCCAAAAAGCGCATCCCCTCTTGCTTCACTGAGGCAGCAGCGAGAACTTAGCTCCCATGCTCCCTGTGGGACCACACCCCACCCACTTCGGCCTGTGCCCACTCCTTACCCAGCTCTAGCGCCTTGGATGTGACACGGATCTTGCAGCCTGGGAGCTCTGCGTAAGCGCTGGCCAGCAGCGCTAAGAAGAGTGTCCCAAAGAGGGCCATGGCGAGCGGGCCTGTGAGTGAGACGGGGTCGCAGGGGTCGTCCGCTAAAATCCACTCCTGGGACGACCCACAAGAAGGGAGAGCTCGCCGGGACAGTTACCCTCTGTACAACTCTGGAGAACCTGGAGCGGGTAACATTGTCTCCGTTTGGCAGATAGTAAAACTGAAGCTCAGAGAAACAATCTGATTTGAGCACTGTCTCCCAAAGGATTTGGGGAACGGGGGAAGGGATGTTCTTGGTTTTCTCATGTGACGGCCCCGTGATGAGTTTGGACCTCAGGGGGATCATCCCCAACCCCCAACAACCTCTCGTTTCCTAGCCAGGCGGGCCGGCACAGGCTTGTACATTGCCATGGCAACGACTGCAGGCACATTCCTGGTGAAGGGTTTGCGGTTTCCCAGGCCCTGCGCCCAGGGTGCTGCTGGGACCCCTTGCTCCTGATTCTCAGGGTCCTAAATTCCTCCCATTAGGGATTCCACCGGTTGTCCGTATCCCCCCCCCCATCTCAACAGCCTCCTCCCTTCCCCCAGTTGGTACCTCAGCGAGGGTCTGGGAGTGGGATGGAGAGGCACCGCAACTCACTCAGTGGTGGATCTTGGGGTGGCTCGGTCAGGTAGGCGGTGGCCGCACAGGGGATCCAGACGTCTGGGTCTGGCGAGTTGCGCTCTCTCCTTGGCCTTTATAAAGCAGAGCCTCCTTGACCCTCCCTCCTGGTTCCCTCTCTCCCCTCCTACCCAGGGGCTGGGAGGGGACTGAGCGGAACGCTGGAAACTGGGAGGGTAGGGAGAGCCTAATGGAGCCCCGTGACTGGCCTGGCTGCAGTTGAAACCGGTGGGGGACTCGAGTCCCGCAAAAGGGAGGGAAGTGCATGCATGAGCCAGCCTGCCTGGCTACGAAGCCCAGTGCAAGTGTGCCGTTCTCCCTGTGCTGGACGAGCTACTTTGCTTGGGCCACTGACCCTGTTTCCTCACCTGGCAAAATGTGTGGGTAACAGGAATTAACCCCCTGGGCCTTTATTGCAAGCCAGGGCAGGTGGAGAAATCAATGCCCAAGGTGGATTTTTCCCTTTCCTTTTACCATCATCCCAACACTTCTGCTTACCTGGCTTTGTTACTGGGTCCCCCAACCTACCTGGGCCCTTGGGGCTCAGAACCTCTTCCCACTTGGGAGAGCAAGTCCTACCAGTACTGTCAGCCCAGGAGGATACTACACAGATCACTCCTTACAGTCAAGCCTTTCCTAGGGGCCATGGATTGTTAGGTGAAGCCTTGGAGCAAGACATTCTGCGCAGTAACTGGGGCTCCATCTGCTGCCTGCAAGGTTCCAAGCACCTGTGAAGGGGCTCACAGTAGGTGGTCAAATGGAGAAAAGCGAAAAGGGGGAAAAATAGTTATGTCCACTGAGCATGTGCTTATGTCCACCAGAGCACTTGACCTGCTTTGCCCAGGATATTCCTGGTTTTGTTGTTTGTTTTTAGAGATGGGGTCTCACTATGTAATTCAGGCTGGCCTTGAACTCACGATGATCCTCGTCTGAGCCTCCCCTGTGCCAGGATTACAGACATGCACCACCACACCTGGTGGACCTTCTTGATTTTAAAACTTCCCGAAATCAGGCATGGTGGTACATACGTGTAATCCCAGCACTCAGGAGACTGAGGCAGGAGGATCAATGTGAGTTTGAGGCCAGCCTGAACTGCATAGTGAGACCCTATCTTGAAAAAAACCACCCAGACAAAACAAAACAATATGTCCCACAATGCCTTTGTTTCTTCCCATGTGCCTTTGCTCCATGACCTGCTTCTCTATTGGGCTATTGTAGCTAAGGTGCTATACTTGTAATCCTGTATTTGTTTGTTTGTTTGTTTCGTACTTGGCTTTTTGGGTTGTGTTGGCAGAACCGGGGATTGAACTCAGGCCCATGTGCTTGCCAGGGAAGCGATTATTCCACTGAGCCATCTCCCCAGCCCAAGTTTCGTACTTGGTATAGGGTCTCGCTACACAGTTTGGACTCATATTGACCCTCCTGTTTTCAGCCTCTCCAGCACTGGGATTAAAGGCATGCGCCACCACACCTAGTCTCGAGTGGCCAGTACAGCACACCTGGGGGCAGTGCCAGCATGGCTTATGGCTTCAGGAATTGAACCCTGGTCCCTGCACTTGCCTAAGCAGGCACTTAGTCCATTGAGCTATCTCACTGACCCCCTGTATGTTGATTATAGTTTCACCTGTGTTGTACCCACGTTGTGACATTGCTGTATAAATTTCCCCCGACAAAGGGCTTTGGTGGCCACCTCCTTTCAGGACCCCTCCTGTCTCTCAGGAGATATCTCTTAATAAACCTTTCCTACTCTTAACCTTTGTTCTTTGGAATTCTTCTTTGATTTGGGAGTGGGCAAAAATTGGGCACATGTGACATCTACCTGGTTGGGAGTGACATTTCTCCTGTATCACCAGGAAGACCAGCATGGCTGGCAACCCTAGACTGAGGTTGAGGAACCCAAGTTATCTAGGCTTCCTTGACCTAACTGTCCTTGAATATGCGAGATGTTCTTGCACAGGGCCTACACATTTGCTGTTCTCTGTCGTAAATGCTTTTCTACCAGGGTCCTTGTCACTCCAGACTCACAGGGGCCCTTCCTCCTGCCCACCTTATAATTAGTTTTAATCACATCCTCCTCATTTTCTTCCTTCCCTCTCCCCTTCCCTTCTCTCCTCCCTCTCCCACCCACTCAACCTGCCCCCTTCTCTCCATGACACAGGCTTCCCTTTCCCCTCACCTCAGGGTGCTGTTATGGGTTGTGCCACTCAGGACAAGCTTTGGCAGGCTCCTTGTGTCCTTACTCCCTTCTTGAGGTATGGAGGGAGAATCTCCAAGTTCCTTCCACCTTCACTCCTCATGTTGAAGAACTAAGAGGCTTCTCAGCCTGCAAAGGACAGGAGACATGTCTCCAGCATCCCCTGTGCCAGCGCAGTGATGTCGCACAGAACAGGAGAGTGAAGGAGTTGAGTCCTTTGGATGCAGACTCAGATCGAATCCTTTCCCCACAGCAGTCAGCCTTTCCAGGAAAGGGCCAGAGAATGCATAGCTCAGGCTTTGCTCAACTCTGTCACCGTAGGATGATAGCAGGCATAAGCAGCAACAAAACAGGTGCCTTCCTCGATGTATCACCTGGACCATAGTTTACCAATCCCTGTTCAACAGATTTTAAAAGTTAATCTATCTGAGCCTCAGTTTCCACATTTATAAAAAGGGGGATGATCTAGTAGCTGCTAATGCCTTGTGTGGCAGTGAGGATTTAATATGATAAGTATATAAAGTGACAAAGCAAATATGTGGTATACCAAAGAGCTCAACAAATGACTCTGGTAATTAGTATTGCCTAGTTTTTTGTGTTTTTTTTTTTTAAATTTTATTTATTTATGTGTGTGTGTGTGTGTGTGTGTGTGTGTGTGTATGTGGCCAGCTCAGCCCACCAGGGGGTGGGACTGGCTGGCATGTGGTGCTGGGGGATTGAACCATGGTCCCTGTGCTTTGCTAAGCTTGTTCTAAGTAGGTGCTTTAGACTACTGAGCCATCTCACCAGCCCCTGCCTAGTTGTTTAACAAACAAAAATTGACTTAACACTTCATACCTTCTATAGGTATCAAAGTTCACTTAATTCCTTAAACCTCATAATATCCTATAAAATACATACATTGTCACCCCCATTTGCAGATGAGGAAACTGAGGCTGGAGAGGTTTAAATAATTAGGTGAAATTAGTCTGGCTCCAGAGCCTATGCTCTTAATTACTTGATTCTGTTGGCTCCCTCTTTTCACTGATTTTCTCTTCTCTTCCTTATGGTGGAGATCAATCCAAGCCTTCATGAATGCTAGGCAAGCACTCTTACCACTGAGCTACATCCTCAACTCAGGCTCAGGGCTTCCTCTCTTTTAAATATCCCAATTAATCCTCAGGAGTCTCTTGAGATAGCTATTATCTATCTATCTATCTATCTATCTATCTATCTATCTATCTTTGTGTGTGTGTGTGTGTGTGTGTGTGTGTGTGTAACCCGGGATTGAACTCAGGCCCTTGCGCTTGCCAGGGAAGCGCTTATTCTACTGAGCTATCTCCCCAGCCCTTCTATCTATCTTTTTGAGATGGGGGTCTCACTATGCAGTTCAGGCTGACCTTGGACTCACTTTGTAGCCCAGGCTGGCCTCAAACTCCCAGCAGTCTTCCTGGCTCAGCCTCCCAAGGGCTTGTACTAGAGGCATGTGTCACTATGCCCAGCTGTGATAGCTATTATTGCCCTTGTTTTGCATATAGGGAAAGTGAGGCCCATAAAGGGAAGTATCTGGTCCAAGTAAGCAAATACAGGCTGTACTGGCCACAGAATGCCAAGCTGGCTTCCTGCCCAAGACTTCAGCATGCATCCTCCTGCCTTCTCCCCTCCAACTGTGCTTTCTTTGGATCCCTGCCTGGCTTGGAGACGCCGCATCTGTCCATCTCCCCTCCTCGCCATGACCACCCCAGTGCCTACCCTAGCTGCACATCAGAAAACGATGCTCTCTTCTCCTCTGCCTGAGCCATGAGCACACAGCTCATGTGCCTGTGTTGATCATCATGGGTGTGCCTGGGACACATGACAGAGGACCCAGTTGGAAGGCAGGAAGGGGGGTGTGGGCAGGGGTCAGATGTCAGACTGGGAAGACCAGGATGACATCTGTTTTTGGAGCGCAGCTGGGTAGAGCAGTCCCTGTGGGGCCTGGATGGTTACCAAATAGAGAAAAGGGAAATACAGGACTGGGGTTTTTAGAGTTCAGCCTGCGCAGAACTGTTAACTTTCTGTGGCTTCTATATCACCGTGACCTGGTCTTCTACGTTCTCCTTTTCTTTCCCATTTCCTCTTTGAACAGCAGTTCTCTTTTTCTGGAGCAAGAGCCAGCTACCTGGCCCCTGAACGTCTTTCCAGGTTTGAAGCCAAAGGCTCTTAAGGTTCCTGACAAGGTACTGCTTCCCCCAAAGTCCTCGGTTCATTTGCACCCCATACCTGGCCCTCTCCATCTTGGCTTGGATTTTTCTTTTTTTTAAATTTTTATTTATTTATTGGGGGGGGCAGCTCAGCCCACCAGGGGGCGGGGCTGGCTGGCCTGTGGTGCTGGGGGATTGAACCGCAGTCCCAGTGCTTTGCTAAACTTGTTCTAAGTAGGTGCTTTAGACCACTGAGCCATCTCACCAGCCCCTGGATTTTTCTTTTTTGTACCAGGAATTGAAGTAGGACCTCACACTTGCCAGACAAGTGCTATGCCACTGAGCTATATCCCAGCCCTTGGCTTGGATATTGACCGTGAGCAGCTTACTCTTCCCCTCCCATTTCCTTCTCCTTTTGTTGTGTGATACTCATCTGTCTGGTTTCCAGACCACTTTCTTCTGCTTCTCTGCGCTGACTCACGGGGCCTCTCTCTGTTGTCCTCTGAGTTTTGTGACTGCCTACGCTTGGTCTCGCTCAAGTTGTTAGGGCGTCTGTAGCTGTGCTTTCTGTATGTTTGTGTTTCCTTAGCCAACAGTAGCATTTCAGAGTAACTGGAGGGGTGGGACAACAAGAGGTGGGGACTTTTTCTTTGGATAATAACAATGTGGGCTACAATCTCCAGCTTAGGCTTGCCTCTTTTTTGCAGGACCTTCCTAAAGTTACAAGAAAGAGCTGACATGATCCAACTATTGAGCGTTCCCAGGGTGCCTTAAGGCTCC